ATTTGCAGATCTTTTAAGTTCAAGCTTAAAGTACAGTATTTTGTTTGTCTGGAGATTCAAGTGAATGATACAGTATTTTCACGGGCCTGGAGATTCAGCCTGGAGTGTGTCACATTGGGTTGGAAGGCGTTTTACAAGTCAATAGGAGATAGTTCATAACCTTAGTTACTAGTGTACAAGTGCAGAAGTCTGAAGACATCAAGAACTCAGAAGCTGTTCCATCATTACAGGATATTTCTATTGGAATTCCTGAATACCATGATCGGTTGGAATTTTGGATGGCCATCCTCTGGTTTAGACCTGTCGGTGAGCTAGGCGACTGATAGTAGCCCCTGTGTATATACTCTGTAGTACTACACTGCTCCTGCCAGGCCTAGCCAGGCAGCAACTATTGTTACAGTTATAGTTCATACGGCCACATATTGTTCTAGTCCTCTGGTGTGTGTTCACGGTTAAATGAGATAATAATTATTCATTGCAATATTTGAATGGTTTGGTTAGTGATAGGTAAGCCGGTGCCTTCTGTTAAGTTATAGTTTGGAGGAAATGTACTCGGAGAAAATGGAAGATGGTCGGGTTCATTATACCGACATCAGAGGTGAGTCGATGTTGTCCATATCTGTGAATATATAAATTCCAAATGCATTCAATGTTGATGGTTTATCTCTGTAGAATTTAATTAAATAATGATCACCTTATACAAGGACATGGGTGTACTGGGGTCATGAATGTAGTCAGATTTAAGTAGGTGGAGCCGGAGAAATCAGAACATGCTTTTATATCAAGAACTAGTTACAATGTCAACAAAATCCAGATACAGAAAGAAGTAAAAAGGGCCGCTGAATTGGATGTATTTAAATCGAACAAACGTGGTTAACTGTAGACTGATAAGACCGGGGTGTTTATCGCCAGGCTATTTAATTACTTCAGACCACAAATTGGTGATAGAAACACCCCCCTTCCTCCCAGGTATTGTTGATCTACCTGTACACAACTGATTTACCTGTACAGGGGTCGAGCCTACACTTAGTTATATACTTATATATTTATTTATTGATAGAATTGTGAGAGTATCTGATAAGTGGGTCAGTATTTTGCAGTAAACATGATTTTTTATCAAGATTACAATGATGTTAAATGTTTCTGTATTCATGGCTGTCTACTATTAAAAATCTTTGACTTTTTCTTAAACGAGATCTCCTTGAACCTGTATTTGAATTTAGAGTTTGTCTGAAATTTAAATTGTATAGGCTAGTCAGTTCAGATTTTTAAAATCACATCCAGTGTCATGTGGTGGATTCCAATATCATCTAGTACAAGACAAAATATATTGTGTTGCCGAAACTTGTATTGAGCTTTTTTCAAATGGTGTAAGCAGTATACAGTTACAGACTGGACACATTGTTGTTATTTGTAAACTGATAAATGTTTAGTCTACAAACAATATGTTTTCATAGTTTATAACCTATCATATTCCATACACATTCCCAGCAGGTGGAACCTTTGTCCCACTATTGTGTGTGTCCACCCTACATGGCACAATGTTAAAACTGAAGGCTACCATGGGAGAATAATAAACTATATGATGTGGGATTTATAAAATTACTTTTTAAAACAAACTCTTTATTTTTTGTCAGTCTGGATATTTTAGTTTGAAGTTCAATATAACGATACCTTCGTTGTGAACAAATATTGTCTAGATTTATCATCACAGAAAAATGTGTCCTGAAAAATTTATGGCAGTGTGTTAGAATTTTAAATAAAGACAATACACATAGGTTGTAATGACAGGCACGTACCTGTGTCCCCTGCCAGGTCCTCAGCACAGTCAGGAATGCAGAATTCCATTTCACTGTGATGGATAGAGAACTAATTAAGGAGCTCTCCTGTATTAGATGATTTACACCTAAGACAGGAGAACAGACACAGTTGACTGATAACAACTGAACCATATCTCCAGATGTGTTTATACACACATAGTTCCTGCTTTAGTAAGTTTTGTGTCAATGTCAACATTTTTACCATCATTTTTAACACAATTTGTCACTGGAAGTGTTTTGGAAATTACAATCACAAGAATCAAATTTGATATTAAGGCATTTTTATTATCATTGAATTATAAATGGTTTGTCATTTCTAGCCCCATAAAAAATCTTAATTAGGAAAGTAATGGTCTGTGGTAACAATATATATAGACCAGAGTGAACCAAGGGGGATAATTTGATAAAAATTTCATATTACATAACTAATTGTATTTCATTCAAGTCCTCATTCACAGAACTGAAGAAAAAAGCCGGTTACTTTTGTTTTAGTTGTTCCATGTGAATTGTTATAGAGATCATCATTTTTCTTTGCCTTTTTTAAGTGTAGGAAGTTATGATAATGGCAGTTACAGTAGAATTCCAAGACTATAAATATATTGATTATATATACAACCTGAGTGAAATCTCCATAGACCTGAATAAGCAATGAAGTAGCTGATAAAACTGAGAGGATGAGATGCTGGAGGGTCTTGAGGGAGGATTAGATCAATGCAAGCTCTAGACTAACACAGACTTGTAATGTCAAAGTCATTCTGACACAGAACAGTACACATCCACGTTCCTGGTGATGTCTGTTTCTCCAATATTGTATGCATTCTTCCAATAGATTATAAAGTAAAACATAAATATTGAAATTAAGATGTAAATTTATCTGTTCAACATTTTATGGAAAATATTGATTCATATGGAATGGATTTTAGATGCAAGCTTTTACCTATACTTGATTCTGAATAGATGCAACTGAAATTGATTGAAAACATGTACATATTTATCTTACTGTGGATGTGATACCTTCAGTTTCAAGTATGTATTGCTTTCATATCAAATATCTAGTTATATGCGGAGTCCTATTTAGAGAGAGGGAAGGTAGGATTGGTTTTCAAACAGAAAGATAAAAAGTGGAAGGGTGGTGTATTTGGCAAACCTATATTCCAAAGTTATTAATTATTTCTTGGCAAGTCATAAAAACATCATTAAAAGGCTAATGAAGACCGGAAAGGTCAGTGAAACCCATAAAGGAATTCTGAATGGAGAGGCTGTGAGGGAGTGTGAACTTATTAAAACTGTCATAAAATCGAGGGAATGCTAATTGGCATCCATTCACAGAGGTTTAATAGGCATTATTTTCAACACACCCAGCATATCCCATTGGTGAAGACTTTTCACGCTCGTGCAGGATATGCGATTAGCACCACATTCTGTATCGGATCCTTTCTTGAGGTTGACTGCTTTCCTTCATCGCATGCTCAACCTATTTCATATTGCAAGCATCTCTTTTTGTTTTTAATTAATAGTATTCCTGATCATCTTAACAAGGACACATCTGACCAGTCAAGGTTTGAAAATAGAAAAAATTTCTGGTCAGTAATGTCCAAACTCGAGAAACGCTTTTGTGTCATGATTATGAGACTGTGAAGGTTGTCTTCATCTACAACCAGACCGATAACCAGAACAGATAGAAATGTTGTAGCTGTTGTCACAGACAGGTCTGTATTAGCTGTGACTGACTTTCAGAATGGTGGGGTATTCTGATAGAGTTGTGTGATGTTTTCACTGAATGGGTTTAACACAAATTTATCAAATTATGGTATATTGATTGGAAAGTTTACATATTATAGATTTGTGAAGTAAACACAAGTTGTAATACCTTATCTAGACCATTTGTTCAGTCAAACAGTCTAATCTCATGTGAATGATCACATTATTTAAGGACTGGGAAATCCAGATCTTTCCATTATTATCACTGAAGGATGCACAAACAATAGATATCAATCAATTTTATCTAATTAAAACCATTTCCTCACTCAGCTTTGATGGTTCACAGACTTAAAAGAAATGTAAATTATCTTCTTTTTGTCTGCATCTGAGTTCCAGATTATAATTCTTTTGTAAGGCGAGTCTATAGTGATAAAATATATTGGCATTTTCTGGTCTGCATCAGGGATCCTACCTTATAATTTGACTGAACAGTGATAAAAGTAATTGTAGATGGAAGTAAAGTTTCACAGGTCAGTTGTCAAGTGTATACTAGTGCATAAAGTAGAGGAGGCTGCCTGCCATTTACAATTAAGCATTGTCTTGGTGTATGTTAATGATACAATAGCTCTGTCTAGCCCTCAACATATTTGATGCGTACAAGCCAACATATAACCTATAACTTTAAAGCCAGTATTTATAGACTCTTTTCAGAGGATTTGTGACTCATTTTTTTTCTAAATTGCCAAATTTTCTGGATATGACAAAGATTCCACCCACAAGACTAAGAGAACATAGGTGATATGAATATTTACTGGAGATTCAAATTAAAATGATTGGAAAATAATGTTTGTTCTGGTGGTCATTTTTCGTGTGCTTCAGGGAACCTGTAAGGTCAATCTGTTGCTGTATGTATTAAGTGCTATGGTTTTACTCTGTTGTGAGATGACTACAGCAGATGTTAGATTATAAACAAAATCTCCTGTGAATGTTTAACACCTTCCACTAGATTTATAAAAAGTTATCACTTTAGCCAATAGCCGGTATAGTCTGAAGTGCAAAATGAAGGGACTTCTGCAAATCTATCTTGGTAAAGGACATATCTAGATTAGTACTTTCAAATTCAGGAAGAACGTACAAGATTGTTTCAATTTTTGGAATGATATTTACAAAATTGGCTCTTTTTTCAATTGGCTTTTTTTTCTTGATAAAATCTATTCTTTGTGTTGTCTGAAAATGTTAAATGTCTGTTGAATCCAGAAGTGGTAGAAGACAGTTTAGAAATTTATGTTACAACAGATACAACAGTTTTGTGTGTATACATAAATGTCTATTGTGTTATATTGATTAACTTGTTGTTGTGTAATGTGTTATTTGGGTATGAAAGAGAATTATTAAGGTCATGCTGTCTGACAATACATTAGACAGAGATCACAATCAAGTAGACTGATTTATTTTCTTATGTATAATTGTATGTTACAGGTGGTAACTGGCGTAACCCAGACTTACAGGAGGTAATCGACTACCTCAGCCACCCCAGCGAGGCAGTCAAGGCCAATGCTGCTGGCTACCTTCAACATCTCTGCTTCAACAATGAGGACCTCAAATCCAAAACACGGTAAGCCAGTGTTGTCTCACTTGTTTGGTAAAGATGTGTTGTGATTTTAAAGATTTCAAAGAAAACGCAGGAGACAGTGATTAGAAAAGTCAGGTTGGCTTTGATGATTCTAATGCATGCACCACTAGTCCCAAAATAAAACTAAAAAAGTCTTACCCTGCAGGTCAGAAACAATTTTCTTTTAGTAAATGACATTTAAAGTTTCAAAAAGAAAAAAAAAATTAATTTACATGTCTCTAGTCTCAAAGATTGTCAGCACACTGTATGGTCCAATTTAACAGATCTATCATACAGTATCAAATGTGACTCTTCTGTAGCAGTGTCATCCTACATCACTCAGCTTATGGGAAGTTTTAAATGGATTGTTCTGTTACATCTTCTAATGTTTCCAATAAAATCAATTCTACTTCAAACTGTCATTTAGGTTATTGTAAGTATACAGAATTATGGACATTGCTAACAGTGTAGTCCTTAACTGCTTTTACGCAATTATCTGATAGACAGCACTGTGAGTTTTCCATTTAGTTGTACGGCTATAATGGTACTGTGCTAGTGGAATGACAACTTCGTCAGCTAGATAGATACCCTGTGGTGTAAGCATTGCCTTTTTATTGGTGTTTCTTCCCCAAGTCGTGTAGCTTCAGGCGAAAAATCCATATGGAAAAAGATTTTAAACTTACTGGAATGATTTGTAATGTTGATGGAAGATGATATAATTTTGGAAGCTATTATGTACGCCAGAAGCTCAAGGTGACTTAGACAGCTCATGTGGCCAATGATGAATAGTAGATTTTCTTTAATTCAATCAAGATAAGTTTGATTATTCATAATAGGGAAGAACTCCAGAATAAGATTGGACTTATTAATGTAGCCTGTAACTAAAACGCTATCACTTTACTATTACTGTTTAAAACATTGATTGCACAGTGAGACTGAAGCCAAACCGTTCCCCATCCTAAGTATCAAACACGCAACCACGACAACATACATATCTCCATGTCAGGTCTAAAATATATGTAACCAAATTTCATTTCAGCATACTGTAAACTCATATTTCTTCTCGTGATCAAATTGCCTTGTTTTGGCTCTTTATACCCTGGATAAATTTTATGAAATATGCTAAAATTAAAATTTATTTCAATCTATCAGTTTATCATTTAATGGACATCTTATTTGTGGATTTACGTTACCCACAAATTAAACCAAAATAAAATTCCCACAAAAATTTAATGACTATGTGATATGTAGCATATTGAATAACACGACAAGGAATAGAAATACAATAGTGAGTCCCTTTATATTTCATGTACAGTCTTAGTAGAAACATGTCTTTATGCAAAAGTGACCCAGGGACATTAGAATCAATATTCAGGGACTTAAGAATCCATTTATGTTTCCATCTCTGCTTGATGTCATCATTATGTATGCTTAGGGCTGGCTCAGATGTCAGTATCCTGGTATGTTTATTGCATGCAGAATACTCATGTACTTCTAATGAGAGTTATTGGCTGTAGAAATTGTGTTTGTGGTTTGGAAGGTTTGTTGTAATTAATATAAATAGCCTGGTGTTTTATCATAAAAAAAGGATTCTGTACAAAATTTGATATTGCAAATTTTCTACTGAGCTGAATGTTCATTATTGTTATTTTTGGTAATTTGATGTACAAAAAAATTGAAGATAGTTAAGAAGTTAGGAAGCGAGTGAACTTTAAATTGACAACCTGCTCGTACAAAATTGTTAATAAATTGTCATTATCAGGAGTTATGGGTTTAATGTAATTACAAGAAAGGCCGAGAGGAATAAGGGAGGGAAACAAAATAGACCACTATAGGGCAGAAATATAGGACAGACAGGAGGGACAATTGTACACAAAAGTGGGATAAGATAGGGGCCGACAGGAAGAACAGATATAGACAGAATAGACCACTATAGGGCAGAAATATAGGACAGACAGGAGGGACAATTATAAACAAAAGTGGGATAAGATGGGGACTGACAGGAAGGACAAATATAGACAGAATAGGTTGGGGAAGGAGGGGGCGAATGTATGATAGAGACAAACATACAGCAAGGAGGGGGTTCAGTGGGGGGTTTTAATGATAGATATTGACAGGGGTGGGGGAAGGAAATGTATTGGGGGACAAACATACATATATTGACAGGGGGAGGGAAGGAAATGTATTGGGGGACAAACATACAGATATTGACAGGGGGAGGGAAGGAAATGTATCGGGGGACAAACATACAGATATTGACAGGGGGAGGGAAGGAAATGTATTTGGGGACAAACATACAGATATTGACAGGGGGAGGGAAGGAAATGTATTTGGGGACAAACATACAGATATTGACAGGGGGAGGGAAGGAAATGTATTTGGGGACAAACATACAGATATTGACAGGGGGAGGGAAGGAAATGTATTTGGGGACAAACATACAGATATTGACAGGGGGAGGGAAGGAAATGTATTGGGGGACAAACATACAGATATTGACAGGGGGAGGGAAGGAAATGTATTTGGGGACAAACATACAGATATTGACAGGGGGAGGGAAGGAAATGTATTTGGGGACAAACATACAGATATTGACAGGGGGAGGGAAGGAAATGTATTTGGGGGGACAAACATACAGCAAGGAGGGGGTTCAGTGGAGGGTTTTAATGATAGACATTGACAGGGGGAGGCTTCAACCTAAAGAGGCAGAATTAATAGAGAAACAGAGGTACTGACTGACGTCATCAACAACCATCCCGGCCACAGATAATCATAGATCAACTGATGGAGAGAAATATTTGTTGTCCTGGTATTCTGTTTTAATAGCCTTGACATAAACTAGGGCATGCTGGAATCGGTTGTATGGTATTTAGCCAACAGGTGCCCCATATCAGAGATGCTGGGGGATGGAAGGGGACACCACATTCCTGGGCTGGGCTCTGGTATCATTGATAATGCATGTACTCGTTAGCTTAATTATCTTCACAGTTCAGAAATAGAACTGTTTAGTGCCATTGTCATAAATATTTCAGGTTTATTCATGTTTATCGGTCAATAAAAAGGAATTTTTATTTCATTGTAATTGTTAGTACTTCTTCAGTCTCAGAGGAATGGTCAGCACTGTTTCCTATTTATACATGTAAGCTAATGAAACTTTGTAGCATGATGTCCAGTTATAGAGTTAGACAGAAACAAAACACCCCCAGAAAATACTGCAGTGTGATAAACAAAACTTCACAAAGGCTCCAATAGATAAAGATAGTTAAAAGAATGGAAAGAGTGTACTCCTTTATAAGTAATCAAGCTGTACAATGTAGGTAATCACCTCTGACACTAGACACCACTGACATGTTGTTTATGATTAGAGATAATCAGTTTTAATGACCCCTCCCCTGGAGGTAAGTGTGTAGATGGGGAGAGGTACTTGTGCTATCTCCTTCTCACTGTTCTTCCCTTCTCGTCTGATCTCCCCCTACCCAGGGATAGCCAACAGGATGAGGAACCTGTACAGAGATGTAGATAAATCTGGTTCCTCCCCGCCCAAGGGTACACCAGTGTATCTGATGCATGTTTTACAATCTATTACACATCCCCCCCACCCCTTCCTTCTCTTCCATGATACATCATATTTTATATCTTTGTCTTTTGTCTTTTTCTTTTGTTTGATGTCATTTTTCTGGGATTTTTTTCTCTGTTTGTTGGCTCAATAGACCTGTTCTGTGTTGATGGGCCATTAAGAATATAATAATGTGATGATGAGAAGACTAGGTCCCCCCTTCCTTCCTGATACTGTACTGACACATGTAGGAATACAGATAATATCGGGAAACACTCCCCTAGATAAAAAAAAAACCTCGGTGACTAAACACTGACTATTGGTGAGTAAGATGATATCAGCCCTCGGAGCATTGTTTCTGTTACAATGCTTTCTAAACTAGTAACATTAACACAAATATGGTAATGACCTATCTAAACAAGGTATAACGATCAGTTTTCTCTTCACTAAACTTATAAAAATATCAAATCTCCCAAATCTGAATATCTTACAGAGATTACCAAGGGATTAGGTAAAACTTGTCTGGTACAACATGGTCTGATACCAATTAGTAATGTAAATGTACTTTAGGATCATGTGATGCTTAGTCCTTATAGATTTACACATAGGTGATTCAGTCAGAATCTGATTATATACATAGGTAGACAGTGATGTCATTAACACCCTAAATACTGGAAATAAGGGCACAATTTTATGTTTCTATTTCTCAGGGGTCTAAGGGACATTACAGTCAGTTTTACTTTCAGTTTACAAATATTGAAGTCTCGTCTGTTGATAAAACTGATATGTGGATGATTAGTACTGTAGATATATATATAGTGCACTTGCCTTTTGCCAGACCATTCCATTCCTTTATAAGATATGGTATACAAATGTAGTATGGGGTCACTTGCTCTTGATATGTGTATTCCTGTCAGATTGAGTCCTTCTGTGTGCTTCATATACTTGAACAAATGGACCATTACTTCATCAAATTTGTAAAAACTAGTAAACTTAAGTTGGAAAGTAGAAAAATTAGACAAGTTTATACCTTTGGATCATGGTATAGACATTGTAATGGGTTAGCAATATTTCTTGGGTCCCTTAAGTAAAGCTATGTTTTCCTAGAAATTGTATTTCACATTTTATCCTGTTTTGTTTACCTGGGGTTTACTGCCAGTAGTTGTGACTGGTAGTGCAGAGTGTACCTAATATAGAGGTAAAATACTGTCGTGTTAATTAAGCTTACTATATGTCCTGATGAGTAATTAATCTGTCACATTATTAACCTGTTGTAGGGGTTTGGATGGTATCCCTCCACTGGTGGAACTATTACGGAGCGATTACCCAGAGGTTCAGAGGAATGCATGTGGTGCCCTGAAAAATCTGTCCTATGGCAGATCCAAAGGTGGACTTGATACCAAAGTAAGTAGTGTTGTATTCAGGTCAAATGTCTTATTTTGGTCTGTCATGTTGCTGTCCTTTCTATGAATCTGTCTTATGGCAGATCCAAAGGTGGACTTGATACCAAAGTAAGTAGTGTTATATTCAGGTCAAATGTCTTGTTTTGGTCTGTCGTGTTGCTGTCCTTTCTTTGAACGCTGTATGACACAAGAATATATCAAATTAAGAAAGAGAAAGGAACATATGTATTTAATGCTGTTTTGCTCTTTTTTAGAAAGCAATAGAGAATGCAGGTGGGGTGACAGCCCTGATCCGACTGTTGAGAAAGGTTCATGATGAGGATATTAAAGAAATGATAACAGGCATTCTATGGAATTTGTCCTCATGTGAGGTATGTGTCCAAATTGATCCTGGTCTTAGATATTTCTGATTATTTTAAACTTTTTTAAAGTTGGTATGTTTTCATGCTAAATTAATTTTATTATTACATAATCCAAGATTTAAGAGATATCAATTTTGACTTACAGCATCTAATTCTGAAAAGAAAATTCAACACTGAATAGTATTTATGATCATTGACATTTTGGTTTTGCAGGAATTAAAATCAAAGATAATATCCGAAGCTTTGACAGATATTGTGAGCAGAGTTATTGTTCCCTACTCTGGATGGGAGAAACGTGGGTTATTACAAAGTAATGAGGCTTGGACAACGGTGTTCAGAAACGCTACTGGCATCATCAGGTGAGCTTTCAGGATTTTAATTGAGATGAAGAAATCAGTTATTAGAAAGCAGCAGTGTACTCTGTTATTGATAACTTGATGGCTTTATTTTGAACATTTTACATCAGATCCCACCAGTTCAAAGTAAATAAGAAAAGTGTAGTTATGTTTGAAATCGGGTTTTGATAAGTTAAAAGGGACACATAAGGTGCAGATGATAGGGCACAACATTTAGTCACTTTGTTAGATATTGGATACACATAAGTGGGCACTTGTAGTCGGCTTCATTAAGTAGACAGGCACTTCTTCACCTAGTCTTGTCCTTTGGTTATAAATTATAAATAATTTAAAGACTTAAAGGGTGTTGTAGAAGTTGGGAATCAAATCAGTAAGTTCAGGTCCAATTAATGATAAGATGAATCTAAACATGATTTTTTTTTTTTTTTTTTTTTCCTTCAGTTTTTTATTTCTTTTTTTTTTTTTTTTTTTTATTAAAATTTAGTGGAAGTGAAAGAAATCATTAATTGTCAGATGTTTGGACTTGTCCACCTGTTGGGATGAGTACAGCAAGATAATGTAACAGATAACCTAGTGATATAAACTGAAACAGACCTCTTTCATATTTTAGAAACTTCAAATATAAAGTTTTATCTCTTTTCCTTAATTGAAGAAAATTTTAAAGACACTTGTATCAAAGAAAGAAATATATGCACTGAACATTTTCTCTTTCAGTTGCACTTATTTAAAACCTCTTGTAATATTCATGATCCATACAAAGACACTATTGTTCAGTAAAATATAATGTGAGAATACTTTGACTAGAAATCTACTGATATCAGAGAATTAACGGCTTTGTCTTCCATTTACAGGAATTTAAGTTCAGCTGCAAAGGAAGATGAACAGCGTGGATATGAGACGAGGAATCGTTTACGTGAATGTAGTAAACTTGTGAATTGTTTAGTGTATGCAGTGAAAATGTCGGTGGAAAACAATGATAAAGACAGTAAACCTGTGGAGAATTGTACATGTTCCTTACGCAATCTTTCCTTCAGGATACAGGAAGTGTCAGAACGAGACTTCTATAAAAAGCGCAACATGACATTAAAGAAACGAGCCAAGCCAGAAAAAGGTACATGCATGCTCTTACCAGATAAAGCTTGTAAAAAACACTGGGGTACAACTAGATACTTATTTTTACTATTAAATAACTTTATTTCTGAACACCTGGTGATGATTTGTCTGTTATTTGAATTGAAGAAATTGATTTTTAGATATAGGTTATTTTAATTGAAATCATGTTTGTATTTCTAGCGTTGTCGGGTATGTATGTTTGAAGTAATAGAGACTTATATTTTTTTAGATTTTTATTTTAGAATAACCAGACATTATTTTTTTTTGTCTATGTTTACAGAATCAACAGGGTGCTTAGGGAATATGGGAAGTAAAAAATCACAACAGACGAAGGGTAAAGGAAAGCCTGACCTAAACCAAAAGTAAGTGTTGATTTATCTACAGACCCTTGTTTTAAATATTAAAGGCCAGTTTATATATGGGGAGGGTTAAACATCTTACCACTTCACAGTCATTTTACCCAGACTTACTTGAGTCTTCAGTTTGAAGATGCTGATGAATATTTTAGTTTTGAATTCTGAGAATGTGTATATGATTGCAATAGAAATGGAATATTTACAGTTGTCTTTGGCTCTATAATCTTTGTAATGCTCATTGCCATTATACATGGATAAAATGTTATTTCTCTCATGCACAGCTGGACTCTGTACATTTTACATAACTGGCATTTATACAATTTACTCAAGTAAATGTCACAAAGCTGGCTTTAAATTATTTGATTTAATAAAGTTCAAAAGTATTTATCCTCCAATAACCTAACCAGATTATTTCTTCAATCTCGCATTAGAGACACAATTGTGTGATATTGATTAAAAAAAGATGTGACAAAGTTTATAAATGCATGTAATCATTAGTATGGTTCTGCAGATCATCAGCTATTTCTAGAAAAAAAATCAGTTTTAATCGTAACATTATGTTAAACATAAAAAATTTAATTTATAGGTAAAATGATTGTACATTGATGACATTTGACTTATTTTCCTTCAGTGCGGAAATGAGACTTCCACCTGGTGCTGCAGAATTCAAGGCATTATGGGAACCTGAACTGGTGCGGTTATATCTTAGTATTCTAAAGGACGGGACAAACCCGGTAACCATGGAGGCAGCTGCAGGGGCAATACAAAATCTTACAGCTTGTTACTGGCAGGTACGTCGCCTCCTGAAGTCTAGATAGATGTCAATATTGACTGACTAATCATTATCAGAACAAAGTGTAATCCTAATGACTGATCATGGTGTTGTGTACTACATCATAAATATATGTAATTCTTCCTTCAAGTAAATTTGTGAATGATGTGAACTAATCTTGTGAACAACTTACGTTACTTTGGTATGTGAGTTTGGCAGTGCGATATCACTCAAGATTGAGTGTCAGTTATTAAATCATATTGTTCCTGTATTAATCCATTCACAATTTGTGTTCACAGCCAGCGGAGGACACACGCGCCACAGTGAGGAAGGAGAAGAGTCTCCCTGACCTAGTGGACTTGCTCACACACGAAAGAGACAGTGTTGTGTGTCATGTGGCTCTGGCCCTGCGGAACCTTGCCATTGATGAGAGGAACAAAGAGTTAATAGGTTAGTTCTCCTTATAACTGATACATTCTGGTAGAAATTTTCATGCGGTTACTTGTATTATCTAGAGGTTATTCATATACATACTGTATATCCTAAGGGAAGGCTTCAGAAATACTAGAATAAAGGAAGAGGACAAGTCACTACATCAAAACTATGAAGCTCTAAGGGCTTTAAGCACTAGGTAGTGTCTAGCTGTGGACCAGCTCTAAGGGCTTTAAGCACTAGGTAGTGTCTAGCTGTGGACCAGCTCTAAGGGCTTTAAGCACCAGGTAGTGTCTAGCTGTGGACCAGCTCTAAGGGCTTTAAGCACTAGGTAGTGTCTAGCTGTGGACCAGCAGTTACCCTAACTAAAAATTCAAACCAGTGGACATCTCCTGCTGGAATGTTATTGAGATAGGTACAGATATCTGGGGTTTTTTATACGCCGCCCAAGGCGGTCGTACATTCGCGTCTTCTCCGTCTGTTCATCTGTCTGTCCGTATGTCCATTTCTTGTGAACGCAACTTCTCCTAAACTAATCATCAGATTTTCTTGAAACTTGCTCAATGTCACTACTACAATGGGTAGATGTGCATGAAGGGATGATTTTTCGGTTCTTTGAATTTTGTAAGATTTATGCCATTTATGATCTCGGGTCCCTGTCTCTTACAGCTATGCTAACTGGTCTTACAGACTTCATTTTGAGCTTATGTACACAGACATGTTAAAAGCGATGATTAAAAGGACCAATCTTGATCTTTCTATTTTGTGTCAGCATATATTGTGTCCACGGCACTCTTGTTTTTTAATATTTTCAGTTGCTGCTCATTGTTATTTCTAATATAGAAATAATGTTTGTTATGTTTGATCATTTGTAATCAAGGCTTCCCAAACTGATGTTTGCATCTTCTTTTTTATTGAGTGAGGGAATTTTTTAATTCCAGGAAAATATGCTATGAAACAGTTAGTGAGTCGACTTCCTATGGAAAGACAGATAGAATTAGTCCCAGACCGGACAATATCAGCTGTAGTTGCAACTTTACACGAAGTCACGAAAAACAATCAAGATTTTGCACAGTAAGTACAAACCTTTGTTGTCTAAAGAACTCTTACATTTTCCCATCAAAATAAAATTCTTAACAATAGGAATATATTTTATTCAAGTTTTTTTTTCTTTTTTAAATAAATCAAGAATAATCAAGAATTTGCACAATAAACACAAACTTCATGATGCATTCATATTTCTGAACTTTGTTGTCTGTAGAATCAACACTCTTTCCTGAACAGTGAAATTCGTAACAATGGGATTTCATTTATTTTACTCAAGTTTCTTTTTGTTTCAGATCTTTGGCTAATGAAGGTGGTCTGAGGCGATTAAAGTTCATTAAATTTGCCCAAGGAAAATACTTAACGAAGACAAAAGAACATGTCCACAAGGTAAAATACAATGAATTCGATTTGTGTGATACAGTTCTGATGCTTAATGTTGCTCATCAGAAGTACGGGGTGTATTATTAGGGACATGGCTGAATATTTATCTGATATTCATTACATAGAACATACAAGTGTGTGGTTATGTTGGGATTGTGATTGTTCTAATTTATCAGAGAAAAAACAACATTTGGTAACATGTATTTATTAGGATGAGCATTTCTTACAGTAAGAATTAGCAGTAAATTTTGAATGTTTGAAATATTGAGATAATGTGCTGCTTGGTTGACAACTTCATAATGAAAGTTATAGATTAACAGGAAATTCAAGTAACATATGTTGGAGCCAAGATGAGAAAGTAATATAAGGATGTTGTAAAGATCAGAAAATAATATAAAGGTGAAATTTATATCAGAAAGCAAAATGGTGTAGGAAAATTCAAAGTTTGATTTTGTGCATGTATGATCTTTCTTATGAGAATGATGTTTGGATTTGTTGACTGTGTGACTTGTCATCATGTAAATAATGTGTGTTACAGCTGCTACAATCCTTGTGGGAGTTTAAGTCATTACATTGGGAGTTTAAGGAACGAGGACTTGTGGAGGCTGATGTCAATAGCCCACCTATGGTGGGGAGGTCAGTATTGCCAAGTATATTGAGAAAATAGTTATAACTTTCTAGTTAAATATCATTTAAAGAAAGGTGTCTTTTTATGTCTTTCATGGCACCACAGGTGTCTTTTTAAAATAAGATTTTTTGTCTTTGTGTGGTTAGATTGGTCTTTGTTAACTCTAAGCAAGGGAGGCAACTTCATATATCTTCTTTGTAATCTTACAAGGGAGATAACTTCACAGCATGATCTCTTGAAGACATTTTGAGTCTGGAACAACTAAACCTCAGTATTTCCTTTATATTGTTTGACAATCATTTACAGCTACAGCATATTAAATTTGTTATCTTTCTCTAAAATATTTTGTTTGTCATATCTGAAAACTATTAATTGATTTTTTATCCATGGTTTTATTGTAGTAAAACTTAATCACACAAATTTGTTGATTTTCCAGGACTGACGACATTGGCTCTCCAATGAGCAACTACAGCACAATGAGTCGCCCCATGGGTAGTCAAGGTTATGACGACAATACGATATCCGCTGGTCGTGTACAGACCAAAGACCCTTACCCCAACAGTTACTCTCCAAACGGACGTATGGACAGTGGTTATCCTGGATCAGTTGTCGGTCATAGTAACCCAGCCATGCATGATGATGGTAAGAATCAACACATGGTTAGCAGTTCTTATTCTATCTGGAGATTACTTGCTTCATTAGCAATACTCCAGAATTATTACAAGTATATATTTACCTTATAGACCTTATCTGCTAATGGGGTGTTAAAGTATAATGATGATCCACAAGTTGTCCAATGGCGATTACTTGTAATGCTTTGCTTTTATTCATGATATTAGAAGTTAATTATATTAGTGTCTATACTTACAGTAGTCATTACTGATTGTCTTCAAATTAGATTTCCTAAAGCAAGCAGGTCTGAATTGTCAGATATCTTAAAGAATTGTCAAATATCTGATAGAATTGTCAAATATCTGATAGAATACCTTTCTACATCAAAGAGATATTCAGGTAGGAAGTGTTAAATTTGATGTTTGAATTTAATGGTGTTTTTTGTACATTACAGGACGATATGATTATGACACCAGATCAAGAGTAAGTTTAACATATTACACACAGTAAAGATTTACAGAATCAGTAAAGATTTACAGAATCAGTAAAAACACCTTTCATTGTAAACATTTACTGATAGCAATGTCACATTGCTTGGTAAAGTGAAAATTTGACTTATAACTATCAGAAGCATACATCAACCTATTTCACTATGGCATGCTCACAAGTTAAGTTGTTATAATTTTCCTGATATCAAACTTTACATTGTTTGTATAAAACAGAATCCTATCATGTGATATGTGATATATATATCATACTGTCTAGTTGTTAGATCTGTCATGGATGATATGAAATTGATGTTTTGTGTTTAGAAATAGAACATTTTAATGTAGGTTTACATGTGTTGGTAAATTTATCATAGTAATTTACCCTCTGATCTCTGTTTACAGGGTGAGGATATCCCATTATCAGATATGGGGCCAGGTTATGCCCCGCTTGACGACCACCTACCCAGAAACAAGGTACCTGTTGGAGCTGTTCCCCTCTTCCCAGGCTTGGAGAACCAGCGACATGCAGTAAGTTATTCAGGAAATAAACCATGTTTGCTGTGAAGATTTTCTGAAAGAGAAATTTGCAAGTAAAAGTTAGATGAAATTTGTTAACTACTCCAGGAGTTAACCTTATTATCTATTTTCAAATATTGAAGTGGTACAAGAAATTTCAAGAAATCAGACTTTAAAAAATAATTCAGAAATTGGTACCAAGTACTTACATCAATCAATCCTTTTGAGGTTGTTTTTGTGTTATAAAAGCTTTATGTCCTTGCAACAGCGAGTGACATTTGAAGGTAACATTACTTCAGATTAGTGTTGACTTGAAATGTTTGTATTCCAGAGTCAGACCCAGCTTCATCCTGAGCCCCAGCCTGGACCAAACGAACAACTATATGCACAAGTAGACAAAAGCAAGAAGCGCAATCCTGGCCAGATGGGGGGACATGCAAGTCCCAATCATGTGATGTTAGACATGTCCTCTCCAGGGAGTCCCCAGGGTGGGGCGGACTCCTGGGTATGATCCCAGGAGTCGGGGAGGACTTAAGAAGTGACTAAGTCTTGTACAGGCTGTGACATGTAATTGTTAGTATGCACTGCAAGGCTGGTTGTGCAACACTGGATATGTACAAAGTGGAAGTACTAAAGTATACAGAAATAGAACAAACTAAAGTTCTGAACAAAATGTATTGAAAGTGAAAGTACTTCGGAGAGAATCAGGCTGGAATGGTATGGAATGGATATTTCACAGAGGACCACCAATATCTTAATGTATAAGAGATATATAGAATATCATACATACAGAATGTCCTACATACTGTTTCCTCTCTGTGCAGGTGTTACACTGGACCATGTTGGGAGAGTAGTCATTCATGGACGGTGTTCCACAGGTGACATATAGGTCAGGTCACCTTGCTTGTACAGCCCCAAAAAAGTGTGATATTTACTCCCGAGTCCTTGTGAGAAGAGATCATAGGTTATGTGATTATTACTCCCGAGTCCCATTAGGAGTAGAGGTGACCTACGGTTGTGTGTCCCCTCCCCCCTAGTACCTAAAGACTCTGGGGGTCACAAGACTGCTGGACAAAGGGCCGCAAGCCCTCAAGTTGAGGAATTTGACTTAAAACTTTCATAAAATCATGTTAATCAGTCCTGATTTTTAAATTTAGAGACTTATTTTTGATAAATATGGTAACTGGACAGAAGTGCTGTGCTATTTTTATCATCAACATCCATCAGTGTATCATAGATTAGCACCAAATCCAGTGCCCCATTAAGCCAGTTATAGTTGTAACCGATCATGACATCAAATGTTTTAACATTGTTTTACTACATCCAACATTCTTAGTATGTGTTTATTTGTTTATGGGGTGTTATTGTGTTGTAGGAGTTAGTTCTGTAATAGAATCTCTGTAAAATTCCTCTTGACTGTATTACAAGCATCCTTGCCAATTCTTGATGTAAATGCCGAGAGACACCAAGAAACGAAAATGTCCCATAATGCACCAGGCCATTTCGGGTCACAGGTTCAAGGGTCAGTAAGGGGATTTTTGATGTCAATAAATTCAGTCAAGAGGTGAATTGGGTTTCAATAAATGACATGATATTACTCTATTTACTGGTGATAGTATTTACCGCAATAGACTACCATAGATTAGAATATGCCTGTAGCACTGCAACATTTTATTTTATTGTTAATGTGTAATAGTAAATTAGGTTAATGCACTGCTAATTTTTACAATTATTTAATTTAACTTGCTGCTAGGATGTGTAGCATCTCGGACTTATTGTCCTCAAATCCAAATTGAACAAAATTTGTTATTGTGTTGTCCTGTGTTGTTTATATTACAATAAGAGAGCAATAACGAAATGTCTAATGCTATGCACAAAAATATACAAAGAGGTATAAGTGATTGTGGCCTCTAATTTCCATTCATGAGATGTATACTTTTGAAAATTGAAATTTGATAGCAAATAATTCTCAGAATAAGGATAGAATCCAAACTTTTATATATTGGAGAGAAGTTAGAGTGCTTGTAAACTGATTCCTTTATTTTATTTTTGCATATTAATTTTGTCCATTAAATCACATCTATATTGATATTTTATGTTGATCGAATGTGGAATCATGTTTATTATGTCCTGTAGTGATTAAGGGGTCGCATCACTACTACCATGTTGAAATGTGATAAACTATTGATAATTAACATCAAACATTTTTGAATAAACATTTGTATGTATAACATTTAATCATTGTTTTTTGCTATTGTGAATGAAGCGCTAGAATTCCTCCAGTACCAGGTACAGTAATTCCTTTGTGCTTGCCTTGATACCCAGCAGACACTACGAGGTTCCAACTCCACAACTCTTTCTTGTGATTTATCTTTGTTAGAAATTATGTCATGGAATTATTACATGGGAAATTGCATTAAGATAAATTTTTAAAATGAAATATTTCTTTAAAAAAGATATAAAGTAAATTGAAAAAGTAGAAATAATTTATCTACTGTTATAGATTTTTATTCTTATGTCTTTTGATGCCTTTACTATATACATACTAGCCAGAGGAATTACAGCAACAACTTAAAAACCATCTCCAGAACTGTTTTCATTGCTGATTGGATCCAACCCAGATCACAATTAATACAAGAAAATAGAGAAATTTTATTGTTAATTTCTAAAAATCATTGAAGATATGTAATGTTACTTAAATGAAAGTGTTTTGATGATATTTTCCTTCCAGTCAGTCACCATGATTTACATAACTGCATTTTATACATCCACTGGGTCTTCACATTTTGGGTCTATGTGCAAGCTGTAGCTGTTGACTTAATTTGCATTTCATTTCAATTATATATTTACTGAAGTATAACAGGAAAACGCTGTACTTGAATTTGTAAAATATGAATATGAAATGAAAATAACTTATATATAGATATGCAATGATGTTGATGTATAAAAGCATTATTTGCAAACAAAATTTGATATGTAAGCATATTAACATCATTGGTTTCAATCATTCACTGTGACACTATAGACTTGCATAGAAGACACCGCATAAGGCTATTGTATGCAGCCATCACCTCATCCTGCTATTGTATGCAGTCTGTCTATTGAATGTGGCCATCACCACATCTTTCTATTGTACACGGCCATCATCATATCTGTCTTTTGTATGTGGCTATCACCACCTCTGGCTATTGTGTACAGTCATCACAGCATCTGGGTATTGTATGCTGCCATCACTGCATCTAGGTATTATATGCAGCTTTCACCACCTCTGGCAATTGTATGTGGCTTTCACCACCTCTGGATATTGTGCACAGTCATCACAGCATCTGGCTATTGTACGTGGGGAACCACATGTGGCTATTGTACGTGGGGAACCACATCTGACTATTGCACTGTATTGTAAGAACTACATCTGGATCCCCCTGTGTTTATCTATGTACATCAGATCACGTGGAACTCTTGTCCTTGTTTCTTTCATTTGCTTCTTCAGAAATTGATTTACAGGTTTCTTTGTGTAAATTCAAGTAAAAACAACAAATGGCCACAAAGACAGTAATATTGTTTGGAATTCAAGAATAGATAACAGGGGAAAATAAGGAAGTTTGGCAATACATAAACATAGATTTTGCCTACACAAAATGCCCACAGGTACAGGAAGGTGTGTGCATTCATCAAAAGTAAAAAAAAAAATTAAAGAAAAAGAAAATATTTCCCACATTTAATAGCAATTACAAGTATGTAATTGTATATTCTTAAACAGATTGATCTTTCTGCTCAACAACAGGCTGAAAAATCTAATTATTGATGCATCATTATAAACACTTTCTTGGCCTTTGTCTTATTTTGACATCATACCAGGAGTAGTATCATGTAGCTGTTATCAGGACTTTCGTTTCAAAAAGGTTTTATTTTGTTTCCAATATAGAAAAATAACAGGCGTTCAATATGAACACATTTGTAATATCTGGAATAATTTGGATACAGATAAGATATTTTGCAGAGGGAACATGGCTTTCGTTTGAGACTAACTAGCACCTAAATGTTACATGAAAACACTTTAGAATAGATGTCATTTGTAATTGTGTTATCGATCATGTCAGAAATAAAGGGCTTCCAACTGTTTCATTATACAATCATATTTACCATGACATGAAATCATTAATATCACTAAATAACATTGCCTTTCTTACTACACTGTAATGGTGGGAATCTTTCATCAAAATCTGTAAACAGATAACACACCCTAAATTATACTCCATATAATTTATTCTCAAATGTCAAAAGTCTGACCTTAGACATGTACAGCAGGTGGATTGGGGGAAAATGGTTAATTCCATACATCATTTCATTTTTAACTATAAACATTTTCATTTTGCTTATAATTACACTTTGAAATGATGAGTTCTATTTAGCATTGTTATGAATGAAAATTTAGAATCAAAATACAATGTTAACAATATGAAATATTGAGTAGTGCTGTGATCATTTTAATTGGCCCTGTAACCTGGCACTTAAAACAACTACCAGTATTGAAAGTGTGTGTAAGTTAGTCCTGGGACTTCAGGAAAACATTCTTTAGGCCTAAACTGCTTTTTGTCATCATGTTACATGAGCTGTGAATTATCTAAGATCAATAGTTATATCAGCTGTACCTGACCTCTGGTCAGTGGTTACACAGCATTAAGAATAAGCATTCCATTCTCATACCGTTAGTCTTTAATGCAAGTCTACACATTTTTGTACCAAGGAATAATGAATAATCTGATACTGTGTGAACTTGGATAAATTAAATTTGTCCTTTAAATATTGCAAGTGTTTTGTTGTCTATAAACAGCTGATGCAGTGTTTCTATATAGGTCTGTGTTAATATTATAGTTTTGTTGATGAAAAGCTGAAATCTCTGTTACCACAGATGTATATCACAGGGAATATATGTTTCTGCAGTTATTACATACTGAAAACTCATTTCAGTAAATTAACTTTTCATCTGAACTCGACCTGTATACAGTGCTTAACAGGGATATATATTACAAGATCTACATATTAATTGTACCAATCAATCAGGTATCATGATTAAAGTACTACTATGCTCAGCAGAATTATTGGTTCGATACGTTAATAAGGGGGATAACTCTTACACTCTTGTGGAAAGTATTTCTCGTGTATTGTGCAGACTTCACTCGATGGTATTCAAATAGGACCCCTGAAGATCTCTATATGTCTTATATATATATATATAACATATTTGAAGCAGAATTTTAAATTTCTAATAAATAATCCCAAAAGAAAACGAATCAAGCTATATGTAGAGAAATTAAAAGTGAATACGGAGTGTTGACATACAAATCCATGATTTCAAGGTGTAGGTAACATAAATGTTACATTTGTCCTTCATTCCTCAATATTCACATTCCCGCTCATGTGCTCACTAAAAATGCCGATAAAGGACTGGGATTTTCATTCGGTTACAGAAAAATATTTTTTCGGGTCAAGTTTTGGTTTTTATGGTTATTTTCCCGAGAGTTATGGCTGTTTGAATAAGACTTTTAATAAAGATCTCAAAAAAACAGCATGAGATAAAATCAGAGAGCTTTGCGTAACGCAAGTGTAAAATAGGGCAGGTGATTTTATAACAGATTCTTTACCGTAGACTCTGCTAGCAGGAGTTCGAATATATGACCTCACCTGGTCCGAAGAGGGGGTGGGGAGGCTACTAGTCATGGACGACAAAGCGGTTTTTGACCAAATTTGGTCTGAAGCATCTTTAGTGGAAGAGTAATAAACGGTGGGTCTGACAACCCCGGGGAGCTGAGCGGCGGGGCTCAAAAGAGGAGACTTGATAAGTTCTTTAAAATGCTATTTCTCCGACATTAATTATTAGAATTTTGCCCAAATTTGGCCTGAAGTTTTCTTCTCTGTTTGGAATGATTTGGTCTAAAGTATGAATAGGGACTGAGGGTTGGGGTTCAACAGGAAAATGGATATGTTGTTCATATTTCCTTTTCCTATAGTTTTAATTAAGCAAGAGAAAGCCAGGAGAGCGATATCAGCCCTGTGGGCTGAAACTTGTATCTTGTTTCAGGCGTCTATCTCAACAAAACGAAAAACATTAAAACGTTCCAAACTTCTCCCTGGTTATCGGTAGTGGCAGTCGGTCGCCCCGACACATAACTGTTATTGAGACCCTGGAATGTTCTGAATTAGTAAACTTCTGGTTCTTTGAGATATCAGCCATAATTAACGTATAAATCCAAAGTAATGTAGCGTTCTCAAAATGAAAACAAAGGAAAAATAAAATACGGAATTATGCCTTTATGTTGTTAAGTTCTGTCAAGTGTAAAAATCAAAAGACTGGGGCTAGATAGCACATTGCAGGTAATGTAGAAGTCTCAAGGATATAAAGGGATCGTATGTATTTCCCTTCAAGTTTGAGCGAAAAATTGAATGGCAATTTTCCATAAAACAATGAAGTTCCTCTGGATCTGCAACACATGTGATAATGATAGCGATTTTTCTTGTCCGTCTGTGCTACCGATTCGTTGTCGAGAGGTATCACTGTTTCAGAAGGAATTTCATGAATGTAACACATTACATACGTAACGTGCTTAAACGATGTGCCGTATCACACTTTTCAAATATCTTTCCTATCGATCAAGGTCAAAGTGCCTGTCGAGAGCATCCATTTAAAAACCGACACCGTACCATCCACGACTCCCCTGTGCCTCCAACTCCTGTACAAGTACATAATGCATCCTACTGTGCATACTATATATACATTATATAACAACAAGGAATCGTCGTGTTGTTGTTGTTGTTGTCGTCGTCGTCGTCGCTGTTGTTGTTGTCGTCGTTGCTGTTGTTGTCATCGTCGTTGTTGTCGTTTCTGTTGTTGTCGTCGTCGTTGTTGTTATTGTTGTCGTCGTCGTCCTCGTTGTTGTTATTGTCGTTGTCGTCGTTGTCGTCTTCGTCGTTCTTGTTGTCGTCGTCGTCGTCGTTGTTGTTGTTGTCGTCGTCGTCGTCGTCGTTGTTGTTATACTAATGTTATTTATTTGATATAACGGGTTTAACGTCCACTATTACGGCCTTTCGGGCTTTCAGCGAAGGAGCAAAATGTCAATAGAAATGTTCACATTAATCAGTTCTATCGCCCACACAAACGAGAGGGACAAGCATGATTTCAGTCGGTAAGTCAGTCCAGTTGGTTAACCGGACACGCGAACCAACGTGTCTGGTATAACATGTTTGTTTGCCTATAATCATTATATGCTATGATCATTTTTGGATGGGATATCCGGCTGACAGCTACTTATCTAATAAGTTATAGGAGACCCGGCGTATGTCCTCCAGTGAGATAAGTGTCCATGGACACAACCACGTCAAGAGGGACAAAAAACTTCTTCAGAAACACAGGGGAAGGGAGCGTGAAACCATACCTCAGATATTTACCTGAGGTTGCGAAGGTGAACGCTCTACCGGGTCCGGCACAACAACGTCCAGTTGTAGGCGGAGCGAAGGGTGAGGAACAATAAGGTACATACTAATGAATTTGTGAGTCCTTAATGATAGGGTCCCACTGTAAACGTCAACCGACGGACCTGTAATATTAAAGTCCGTTTGTACACGCGAACCAAACGCTCCTTAATAACAAGGTCACGATTCGTACCAACCGAATTGTTCTTTATAACAAAGTTCCGCTTAACGCCAGCCGAATGGTTCTTTATAACAAGGTCACGCTTCGTACCAACCGAATTGTTCTTTATAACAAAGTTCCGCTTAACGCCAGCCGAATGGTTCTTTATAACAAGGTCACGCTTCGTACCAACCGAATTGTACTTTATAACAAAGTTCCGCTTAACGCCAGCCGAATGGTTCTTTATAACAAGGTTTCGCTTAACGCCAACCGAATGATTCTTAAAATCAAGATCCCGCTTCACGCCAGCCGAATACTCCTTAAAGTCGAGGCCCCGTTTCGCGCCAGCCGAATGATTATTAAAATCAAGGTCCCGCTTCGCGCCAGCCGAAACGGCCAAACACCTAGTACTTTTATCTACTAAGAAGGTTCTCATTTACACCTACATATCATTTAAAACATGAGTTTTGAAGGAGCTGAAGGAAACATGAATGAACCAAGGGGTATTACAAATATTTCATTTGGCATTTGAGGTGTAAATTGTGACAAACCTATATGCGATAACCTTGAGAATAACCTCAATTTGTCCATCACTGCTGTCTGTAACACAAGATAGCAGAGCAATCAAACTTTCCCACCATCTTAACTGTGTCAAAAATAGTTTTGAAAAGTTGAAGGTATTTTCTTCGAAACCATCCTCTGTTGACTTAAGTCTTACTTATTACGACTGATGTCCCTCCCCTGAATGTTGAACCATGGAAAATCAATGACCATTCATTTATGAAGTACTTCAAAGAACTCGATGTCGGTTGTCTGAGCCCCTAAGTGTTATCACTATATCATCGAACACCTCATTCTACTGTTTTGAAAGCTGCTGAGTCGATACTATCAGATTATTATGGGATTTTACCACGGTGTGAAAACCGAATACAATCTCATAACTTGTTTGTATAGCGTAGTACTGACACACGAGGTATCGGAACCACATTTTTAATAGACGCGTTTAGACCGAAATGATTCCCAAATCCATCTCCGGGATAAGATAACTTTCTACTCGGCGTGTTTAGTCTCCAGTTGTGAAAATATGCTCTAGTAATGCTGGCTAATCTCGAGGCGGGGGTTCCCGCGAACTACGCGAGAATCCGCGAGACTGACTTACACGTAATTTGGCGTCGTTAAGTTTGCGATACGTAATCCAAGTACATGTACGTTTTACCGACTTATGATATGAAGACCATAGTAGATATGTGTATATGAGGAAAGATTATTCTACATGCCGGGTGTGCCTTTTCGTACAATCGTAATGGGAGCACCACTGAACACATGGGACATATGTTAACATAACCATCAGTAATATTTACTTACAAGGGATGGTACGTGAACAATGTCTGATTTACAGGTGGCCTCATGAGTGACACACTATAAATAAAATTTAACTAATAAGTTAAATTAATGTTCTATGTTTTAAGCTGCATGAAACAATTAGTCTATATTACAGAAATAAAATAATTGAGTAAGTTAACCCTTGGGATGGAAGATGACGTTGATTTAGAGGATACGCCGAGCTTAAAGATAAAAACACAAGATCCGAGGTGGGCGGAATGAATTTACAATGATGTCCGTATGTTGTCCTTTCTCACCTTACTGTACCTCTGAAGGAAATCTGTTGATGTATACCATATGAGGCGAACTTCCGATGATCTGATAAGAAGAGCAGGGTTAAAACAATGACGCTGTTTAGAATGATGTTAGGAATGAAGAGCGAGACTGAACAATGTTAATGTACTGTGACCATGACTTAATAATATGTGTAAAAGTACATAGTAATGGATCACAGAACGGCAACAGACGGAATGGAAGCATGGTGGTTATAAGTTTTGTCCAATATTTGGTACAGTCATCAGAAAAAATGGATTTTTTTTTCGTTTTCAGAAAAAAATATATTCAAACGAAAAGTCCTTTGTTCGGATGGATATGAGCACATGTTTTGCCTGAACCAAGTTAAAGATTATAGATGGTATTCTATCTCCGTTAGAAATTTTGCATCGATCGTTGGTCAGTATCAGCAGATAGTATCGTTCGTTGGTCAGTATCAGCAGATGGTATCGTTCGTTGGTCAGTATCAGTAGATGGTATCGTTCGTTGGTCAGTATCAGTAGATGGTATCGTTCGTTGG